TGCTTTTAAATTCACATAAATGGCATTATTCAGCAAATATTCTGAAACTTCCCTTTTTTCACTGGACATTATATCTTGAGGTCTATTCATGTGGATAAAGAATTAGTGTGCTCTTTTTTATAAATTCTTTTTTTATGGTGGTAAAATATACATAACAAAGTTTACCACTTTGATCTTTTTTAAGTGTGAATTCAGTGACAGTAAACATATTCATAATGTTATGCAGCCGTCTCCACTACCCATCTCCAGGACTTTTCATCATCCCAAACACACGCTGTCTACCCATCTCCAGGACTTTTTATCATCCCAGACACACGCTGTCTACCCATCTCCAGGACTTTTCATCATCCCAAACACACGCTGTCTACCCATCTCCAGGACTTTTTATCATCCCAGACACACGCTGTCTACCCATCTCCAGGACTTTTCATCATCCCAAACACACGCTGTCTACCCATCTCCAGGACTTTTCATCATCCCAAACACACGCTGTCTACCCATCTCCAGGACTTTTCATCATCCCAAACGAACGCTGTCTACCCCTTTAACAGTAAGTCCTCATCCCCCTTCTTCTGGCCCCTGGTAACCCTTCTTACACTTTCTGTCTCTATGAATTTCTATCCCTGTAAATTTGTCTCTAGGTCACCTTTGCTTTTGAAAGATAATTTTGCTGGATAAATAATTCTGGGTTGATGATTTTTTTCAGCTTTATCTTTGTTCCTCTGGATGGAATGTGTCTCTGGCTGCTTTTAAGATTTTTCTATTTATCACTGGTTTTAAGCAATTTGATAATGATGGGCCTTCGTTTAGTTTTCTTTGTGTTTCTTAACTTGAGATTTGTTGAGCTTCTTGGGTCCATGGGCTTATAGTTTTTATCAAATTTGGAAAATTTTTGTTCTGGGGTACATATAAGTTCCTTGGAAACAGTTGATCCTTCATTGCTTGATTTCTGATATCTTGAACCATTTTTTCATTTATTTTGTCTGTTTTTTTATTGTTTTAATTGGAAGGTTAAATCCGGTTCCTATTACTCCATCTTCTCCAGAAGTGGAAGTTGAGGATGGGCAGCTTGATATTATAACATATGCTTTGGTAAACACTGATTTCTACCTCCCAGAAATAGGAAGCAAGAAGCCAGAAATCCACTAGTGTTGTGGTTGGGCCTAATATTGAAAGGATACCACCTAAACCCCATAGCATTCTTAGAAAACTTTTGCAAATCTTTATTTTAAGCAATGCAGCCCTTTGGAGTAGGGAGTGCAGTGACTTTCACAGGAGGTGTTATAGTGTTCTGAACCTAGTACCTAGAGGCAGGATGGCAGTGGGAAGGTCCTGGTGGGAACAGAGAGTGAGTCTGTAAATCTATGGCCAACTCAAACGTCAGGGAGAGGAGTGTGGGGGAGCTGTCTCAGGGAAACGTTCAAGATTGCCAACTTTGGTGTTAGGCTGTGTTGATTTTTTCAAATGTAGGGCACTGAGTTCAGCCATATGCTGAAATACCAAATATAGCTAGTGTTATATATGTGTTTCATGTTCTGCATCTTGCCAGGTTATCTCGTAAATAGTTGGATCTTGCATATTTACACACTTTGAGGTCCAGTGCTCTAATTTGCTTCTTTCTTTTTATAGGTGAAAAGAAAATGTAGATGCATTGAAAAAAGACCAGGCCTGCTGGTTAATGTACACATTTCATTACCCTGAAGTTCTTTGGATAGATCTCACTCTGGGTGTATGCCTGTTATAGGATGGAATTCGGACTTTAGTAATAAAGTGGGCTTTGAGAAATAGCCCTTCCTCTCATCTTTGTTTCATGATGAGTCTGCATGGAATGTTTTACTTCTGAGTTATGTGTCCTGCTTTATCAGGCATTAAACAGTTGGCCCAAAAAAGGAAATACTTGAGCCAAAGACATTCAGTCCAATAAAAACAAAATAGGTTTGAGTATACGTAATGTCAGTGATTAACTCTTATTTTCACACTTCCTTGTGGTTATTCAAAAGTATCAATTTCTAGGTACATATTGAAAGAAGGTACTTGACTTGGCCTGGGTTTCACCCAACAGCAAGCAGATACTGATCTGACAAAAAGACAATGTCTAGAAAGAGGGAAAAGTTGGTTTTTCAAAATATGGTTATAATGATACCTTTAACATTAGTTAATTCCATTCATGGCTTATTTTATTTTATTTTATTTTTTTGGTGAGGAAGATTGGCCCTGAGCTAACATCTGTTGCCAATTTTCCTCTTTTTGTCTGAGGAAGATTGTCGCTGAGCTAACATCTGTGCCAATCTTCCTCTATTTTTTGTATGTGGGATGCTCCTTAGCATGGCTGATGAGTGGAGGAGGTCCAAGCCAGGATCTGAACCTGCGAACCCCGGCCTGCCAAAGCAGAGTGCATGAACTTAACCACTTTTTGAGGTGGCTGGACGATTTTACGTTCCCACCATCAGTGCACGAGGGTTCCAATTTCTCCACATTCTTGCTAACACTGTTGGTCTCTGTTTTTTTGGGGTTTTTTGTTTGTTTGTTTTTTATAGCCATCCTTAGTGGTATCTCATGAATTTGCATTTTCCTAATGATTAGTGATATCGAACATCCTTTTATGTGCTTGTTTGCCACGTGTATATCTTCTTTGGAGAAATGTCCTGTGCTCATTTTTTTTAATTGGGCTTTTTTTGGTCATTGTTGTTGAGCTGTAGGAGTTCTTTATGTATTCTGGATGTTGATTCCTTATCAGATATATGATTTGCAAATATTTTTTCCCACAGCTTGTCTTCACTGTGTTGATGGTGTCCTTTGATGCACAGAAGTTTTTTTGTTTTTTTGTTTTAACAATGAGCAAATATCTTTTTTTTTCTTTAAGATTTTATTTTTTTTCTTTTTCTCCCCAAAGCCCCCCGGTACGTAGTTGTATATTCTTCGTTGTGGGTCCTTCTAGTTGTGGCATGTGGGACGCTGCCTCAGCGTGGTGTGATGAGCAGTGCCATGTCCGCACCCAGGATACGAGCCAATGAAACACTGGGCCGCTTGCAGCGGAGCGCGTGAACTTAACCACTCGGCCACGGGGCCAACCCCTGCACAGAAGTTTTTAATTTTGATGTAGAACAATTTTTCCTTTTTTTTCCCTCTGCGTTTGTTGTTATATCCAAGAAATCATTGCCAAATCCAATTCATGAAACTTCTCCCCATGTTTTCTTTCAAGAGTTTTCTAGTTTTAGCTCTTAATTTAGGTCTTTGATCCATCTTGAGTTAATTTTTGTTTATAGTATTAGATAAAGGTTCAACTTCATTCTTTTGTGTATGGTTATGTTTGAATATTTTATAATGAATTTTTGTTAGTTATAGGTGTTTAATGGTATTGTGATTATATTAAGGAATTTTTATCTAGAGTTATAGAGATTTGCTCAAAATGATACAGTGGGAGGGGTATGCACGTAAAACAAGATTTTGTCATATGTTTGAAAGTTTTCAAAATAAAAAGTTAAAAAGAAGAGTTAGTAAACCAGGAGAATGGTGTTTTAGAAATCTAGACAGAGAGTTTCGATAAATAGTCGGTGAGCAGCTTTGTGAGATGCTGTGGAGAGGTCGCCTAGAATAAAGACAGAGGAGATGCTGTTGATTTCAGCAGCTTTTTCATGACCTTAGATACAGCAGTTTTAGTAATGTTTGGACTAAAACCAGAGTGCAGAATTTTGAGAAATGCATGGAAGATAGAAACATGGAAAAAGCAAGATGGGATCACTATTAAGAAAAATTATTTCTAATAAATCTAAAAGATTATAAGCCTATGATTAAAAAAATACAAAAGAGACGTATGAAGTCAAAAATGAAAGACCCTGCCCCGTTTTCTCCCCCTTCTCCTCACCCACCTCCTCCGGTTCAGTGTACTGTTTGCTATTGAGACGGTGGCTGTTGAACGAGTGGAATGAAAACCTGTGGGAGAGAGATTTTTGAGAGGGAGACTGGAACATGCCTTTGCCTGAGCAGAGCTAGTGGAAGGAAAATAAAAAAGAAAATGAAACTGAGGAGGAATAATGGAGTGACCCCAGAGAAGATACAAGGAAGGAGGGATTTGGTGGCCAAGTTGGAGAAAGCAGAGGCACTCATTTCTTTGAGACAGCAGGAAAGGAGATGACTTAGTTTTTCTCTCTCAAGTAGTAGACCGCATTCTCTGCTGAGAGTGACTGAGGTTTGGAGGGTTGGTGACATCTAGTGTGTGGTATCATTTGGTGTAACCACAGGAATGAGCAAAAGAATGGCAGTGTGGAGGACCCAGCTCAGGCCCCAACTATGTTCAAAATGACTTTTTCATTGAGGAATGCTGTCATGCAGGGAGATGTGCCATCTCATCGATTGCCAGGGTGACTCAGTGCTTTGGCTGGTTGACTAAGGGAGGTGTTTTCTTCTTTCCTTCTGTGAGTGTAAGTTTACTAAAACAAGGTGTTTACATTGAAAAGCAGCTCAAATGGGACTGCTCTTCAGTCCAGGGTACTTTGGTAGGTGTGCTTCTTCTCCATGAGCCTCTTTAAGTAGACTCTGAGGTGAAGGAAAAATTTGACACAATGATGACGTCGAGACCTCTAACCTGACCGACCGTGTGGTGGCAGTGGAACCACTTTCACTTCCCCATTTAAAGAAACAGGTAACACAAAGCTTGTCCCTGGCCATTAGTCATGCTCCACTGACAATATGAAATGTAGTCAGGGTAGGTTCTGTTTGCTATATTTTGAATATATACATTATTGAGAATTAAATGGTTTTATATATATAAAATTTGGTATCTGTGAACCTCGTGATATTTTATAGAAATAGAAATGGAAGTTATATTACTTACTTTAGAGAATAGAATTGTCTAAATAAATATCTAAAGACTTGTCCTTGTCAAATATTTCTCTCTATATATGTTTTTCCTGAAGATTTTATGTAATGGAGATTGTTTACTAATCATCACGTTTGGAGGATTTGAAAGTGAGCTTTACTTTACTTTTTATATTTTTTAGGAGACCCTTGTACAGTGTCATCTCAGTTGGAGTTAGAAGAAGCTTTCAGGCTTTATGAGCTGAACAAGGATTCTGAACTCTTGATTCATGGTAAAGGATAGTCATTTCTTACTCTTCTAGAGCTTTTTTTAAATTTAAATAACCCTATATTCTTGACCTTCTTAAAACATAATCCTGATGTCATTTCTTTGATCTCTGTCCCTTATCTGTATGTAATGTTTTTATTCAGTAGTTTCTCAAATGCTAGAGAAGATAAAACCAATCACCTTCTTATAATCATGGGCAATTTGTTATTCGTGTATGCCTTCTTGGATATTCAACTGTGATCATCTCTCAATGCGTCACAGCAAAGGTTAGGGTAGAATTTGAGAATTGAGAGCCTAGTAGAACCTAAGTCCATCCCCTTGCAATTTTGTAATGTATGCAAATAATGACCTCCGGAGAGATCCTCAGTGTCCTTTCTTTTATTTAAGGGTCAACAGTGAAACTATTTACATAGTTATTACAGACTTTGTGAGAGGTGGGCAGTGGGCTAGAAGAAGAGACCTAAACTCAGCCATCGTGTAACTGATACATTGTCAACCTGGGTTGTAAATCTGGATATTCTGATTCCAAATCTGTGCTCTTTTCATTGTAACATCCTACCCTTCAAATTTTTATGTTGTGTAGAACCCACTTAATATACCGCATTTAATTACAATACATTGGTAATGTTTTATGGAACATTTTTGAGAGCTTTAGGCGACTAGACCTAGGGAACTCTTTAAAACTTGAAGCAAATATAAATCTTCCGTAAGTATAATGAATTATTTCAATACCTTGTTGTTCTTCCCTTGTATTTTTCTTTACAGTGTGTTTTTTAAAAAACAGTAGTTTGACTTTTTTCTACCTTTGGAATTTGACATGGTGACTCCCAAGGGAGCCATAATCTAATTTGTTGAGACCCTAGGAGAACTTTAGAAGTCACCCATTTTTTTGTCATCTCTTTCTAGAATAAAACTGCAATGAATGTTTAAGAAATGATTGACCAATAGTATTAAATGGTCAGTTTGTTTTAAGGTTTATTACTTTTTGTACTATATCACAGATCTGTTTTCAGAAGTTAGCTTATATTTCTACTTTTAAAATACATTAGGAACTATGTTTCCCATACTCTGTGCTCTTTATTAAACCATGTCCTTTTGTACATCACAGAATACAAACACTTGACTAGATGTTCATTAACATACTATTTCTTTATATTCTCTCTCTTTATAAAAATGGTCTGAATTAGCGTGTTTATAAATTTTTAGTTTCTAAGATAAAACTTACATTTTTGATTTGAGTGACGTTTCTGGTGTCAATTTATTCCTAAAGTTAGTATACATATTTTAAAAACGGTAATGGTTTATGTTCGTATTTGTATTTATTTTTGTAATTTAATTTTAATTTTTCATCGTAGCAAACTTACTACAACAGGGATTTAAAGAAATAGTTAATGATTTCTCTAAGGGCAAAAAAAAATCAATTTGTGATGTAACAAGGACTGGAATGAATAATTTGAGCATCTACTGCATTGTTTATGGATGTTCACTTTCATAAAAACTTCTTTCATTACAGCCTTGGTAAAGTGGATCTCTTCAAAGTGTAATACTGATCATATGCTAAGTATTTTGTGTCAAGAGAGGGTCAAGTTGAAATTTGGGTCATTTTATTTGATATTCGAATTTAAAATTCATATGTAATTTGTATGTTTTAAATATTCTGTATTAACGTTAGTCTATTTTCTTTCAGTCTTTCCTTGTGTCCCGGAACGTCCTGGAATGCCCTGTCCAGGAGAAGATAGTGAGTGTCTGTGTACTTCATACCTTTGAATAGAGTTATTTGTGATACAGTGGCACATGTGAAAAGAAATCAGAAATAGAACTCTTAATTCACTTGGTTTCTTTTCTGTTCTTCAGTCTAATTTAGAACATATTAGCAACTGCCTAAACTCTCTAATTTTGCTAGATCAAAATCAGGCAGTTCTTAGTTACAACTTACTGACAAAGTGTTCTTTTGCACATTTGAAAGGAAAATTAAGTTAATTTTAAGTCATGTTTCTTCCTGGTTTTTAATTTTGGAAATTTCAAACCTATGGAGAAGTTGAAACAACATTGAAAACAAAGATACTCATATATCCATTGTCTATATTCACCAATTATTAACATTTTTTGTGTTTGCTTTATCTCTGTATCTTTATGTGTGCACATATGTGCCTGCATGTATATATATAGCAAGCACACTTCTTTTATTTTTATTTATTTTTTTGGTATACCCTTTGAGAACTGACAGGACACTTCATCTCTAAATACTTCAGCATGTGTCCTTAGGAATTGTTATGGGATCTTCTTTTGAATGTCTGAGCTAGTGGTTACTGAGAGGAATTGAAAGAGTCAGCTCTTTGGCCTGATATAATTTAAATGTGCAAACTTATGTACGATCGTAAGTTATTGCTTTTGGTATATAGTATAATTTATTAGTTGTAGATAGGCAACTCATTTTCATTTGTGGTTTCTGCACGTATACATGACTTTAGAAGGAAGGGTGGTAAATGTTTTGTTTTTAATTAAGTGAAATAGTTCTAAACTTTTAATTCTAAGACCCTTCATGCAACTTGGTGAAAAAGAAAAATTAATGACGGGTGTTTGTATATAGAGTTGAGTGGGGACTATGTACTATAAAGGAAGATGGGGAAAGATAGGGAATATGTAGACCCCGGAAGCAATAGTGAAAAATTTAGGTTAGGATTTGACTAGGAGTATTTCACTGGAGTTCCAGTGGGAGATGGATAAGCAGTGCACGCTGCCTTCACAGAGCTGCTGGAGAAGCGGCTGTCCTCTCTGTCCAGGCGAGAGTTCTCAAAGACTTGCCATTGTTGCGGATCTCTTATGGGTCTGTGGCACACTTCCTAGATAACATATTTCCTAACTTTTCACTCTGTTTCATACTCACTCTCCTTCTTTAAAATTTGCTGGTGAGGATTTTGACACCACTCCTCTCCTAGTATGATAAATATTACTAAACTAGAGCATAGAGGAAAACTGGTAACCATTACTGGGGTCTCTTGGCTCTTTGAATTCCTAGGAAACATTAACATGTTTAAGTTTAAGATATATCAAGTTGTAGTTCATGAAAGCTTCTGAAATAGATTTTTCTTTTAGGTTAAGATATTAAGAGAAACTTTCTGCTTTGGTACTCCTAACAGAACAAATAATTAAAAATAAAAGCATCTATATTTAAGATTCTTTCTGTATTATGCTAATTCAGAACATTTTAACTGGTCTTTTCTATCGTAATTTAAAATAGTAAACCTAGTGCTACATTTGCTTTAAAATATGACTTTAGAAACCGAATGGAATCTTTGCACAGTTTTAAGTATTACTGTGGAATATTGCTATTAATGACTAATAGACTATATAGTAGTGATTGACTTAACCAAAATTGCGCAGGTGCACTAGATTAGATCTTCTGGAACCTCTTAGTTTGTTTAGGAAAAGTATTAATATATAAACTATTGGATAAAAGATTGTTGAGGAAGAAGAGAATATTCTCACAGTTACAAAATGTCCATTATAGAGTACTTAACAAAAAGTAAAATGTACCTTTACAGTAAAGAGAACTAGCAATCACTACCTTTAACAGAGTGATTGAACACCAGTACTGAGAGTCAGCAGTCTGACATTTGTGCATCTCTTAATGTGATGCAATCATAAATACTCATCACCTATGCGTCATTTTCACCAAAGTATTTAATACTGAGTCTAATGAGAAAAGAGACAAATCCAGAATGTAGCATGTAATATAAGACAACTGCCTAGAGTCTTTTAAAAAAAAAATCAACATCATGAAAAACAACAGCAAATAAGGCAGAGTGAATGCTTTAGTATATATGAAAGAGACAAAAAAGGTATAGCAACCAAGTGGGTGCCTGAATCTTGACTGAATCCTGGAGAGAAAGAGAAAGCTATGAAAGACACTTTGGGTGCAACTAGGGAAATTTGCATATGAATTGTAGATGAGGTGATACTGAATTAATGTTAATTTTCTAAGACATGGTGATGGTATTGTGGTTAAGTGGAATTAGGGGGAATGTCCTTAATCTCAGGCAATGAATACTTAGTTATTTAAGACTGAAGTGTTATGATGTCTGCAACTTACTGTTAAATGATTCAGAAAAAAAGTGTTACATAGAGAGGAAAGCAAATGTGGCAAAATGTTAGTAATTGGCAAATCTAGGCGAAGGATGCAGGTGTTTATTGTTCTATTCTTTCAATTTTTCTGTGAGCTTAAAAAATTTTCAAAATTAAAAGTTGGGGGAAAATTAAAAAATGGAAAAGCAATGATAGTTATTCAAACATTTATACTCCATGGGCTTTATTTTCATTTCATATTTTTTTCTTGCAATGAATATCATGAAAAAATCACAGACAATTATAGAATTACTTTTATTTGCACTTGCTCTTTTCTTTTCTTTTTTAACTTTTAATCTCTCTCCAGAATCCATCTACCGCAGAGGTGCACGCCGCTGGAGAAAGCTTTATTGTGCAAATGGCCACACTTTTCAAGCCAAGCGTTTCAACAGGGTAAACCTTAGTTTTTCGATCGCTGATCATTTGAGACATTAGTTTTTTCCTCTCTGCTATGAAAGATAGTCTTGTTATTCCCTTTTAAGGGAGTAAGCAGAGTGACCTAACATTCCTGGTTTCCCTGGGCGGTACACCTGTTATCCTGAGGTAATTTTTAATAAGCATCTCCTCTCATGCTTAAAAATGTTCTAGATGGGGCCAGTCCAGTGGCATAGTGGTTAAGTTTGTGTGCTTCGCTTCATCGGCCTGGGGTTTGCAGGTTCAGATCCTGGGCGCAGATCTGCACACCGCTCATCAAGCCACCCCGTGGAGGCGTACCACATACAAAATAGAAGAAGATTGGCATAGATGCTAGCTCAGCAACAATCTTCCTCAAGCAGAAAGAGGAAGATTGGCAATGAATGTTAGCTCAGGGCCCAACTTCCTCACCAAAAAAAATAAATTAAAAAAATAAATTAAAATGTTCCAGATTGGATGATTAATTGTCTGATTACCCTACCATAAGAAAGTTGGATTTTTTAATGCAATTCAAGACAGCCAGAAAATAAGTTTATTTTGCAAACCATTTTATGTTGTAATTTTAATTTTCACTGATTAGAAAATAATAATTGCAAACACTGATCTAGCTTTTACTATGTCTTGGCCACTTTTCCAAATGCTTAACATATATTGACTCATTTAATCCTTACAGCACCCTTGTGAGATAGGTGCTATGTATTTCCATTTTATAGTTGAAGCAACTGAGGTTCGGGGCTGTTAAATAACTCACCCAAGTGACACAGCTAGTAAGTGGCAGAGCCGAAGTTTGAAAGCAGTCTGTCTCCAGAAGTCCATGTTTTTAACTACTGATAACTACAAATTTATAGGCTCCATTTCCATTCTAAAACCAATGCCGTGTTCTGAATTCATTAATGTAAGGAGCCACCACCTGAGGTTCCCAAACTCGTTCCCAGCAGCACTGATATTTGAAAAGCTTTGAAATGAAAAGTCACTTTAGGTATTGCTCTTTGGGTTGACCTCTGAACTGTCTGCAAGGTTTATGTTTGTTGGGAGTCCTTGCACAGCTTTTTCGGCCATATGTTTTTCAAGCTTAATTCACTTTTCCTTTTTTTATTACTCTGAACTTAATTATGTGAAGACTGAAAATTCTTGGACTTCTAACAGAAAACAGCATGGTTGCAGATTTCACCCTCTTTGAAACAAGCTGTCTTTTTCTGTTTATTTTTCCCATTGTAGCTTTTGGAAAAATTGTGTATGCTGAAAGGAATTGAGTTAGAGAAGAAAGCCACTTATTTTGACTGTTAATGAGCAAACTGTTGGGAAATGATTCTGACCATTTTTTGTTGGTAAAATCCTGTTGCACTCCCCTTTCCAGCGTGCCCACTGTGCCATCTGCACTGACCGAATATGGGGACTCGGACGCCAGGGGTATAAGTGCATCAACTGCAAACTCCTGGTTCATAAGAAGTGCCACAAACTCGTCACAATTGAATGCGGGCGGCATTCTTTGCCACCGGTAAGACACAGCTGTCTGTTTTTTTAATAGAGCATTTGTGGTAACTCTGCTAGAACAGAGGGCTGAAATGGGGAGGTCTTAGGGAATCACAGCTCAGTGTTGTTGCAGGATGGGTGGAACACTTTACAGTCCAGTTGACATATTCTGAATTTTGGAATTGTTATTCCAAATTTGTTTGTAGAATATAGTTAACTTCTTTGTTTAACTTGCTATGAAATCTTCTGGTCTAGATTAGGAAGATGTAGGGAGACCCACTTAGGAGATATTTTTCTCTTCTTTAAGCTAAATCCATTAGTTTATAGCTCCCTTTATTCTAGCATCTGCACGAAGCAGAGATCAGGTAAGACGAGTCAGAGGCTTCATGTTTGCCATTTAAAGTGTGAGATTACTGGGGAATTTTTGCATTTAAAATTTTTGCTTTTTGCTTTCTAAGTATATAGTTAAAACGTGTTCGTTATGGAAAATACAAATGAATAAAGAAAAATTAAGTAAAAATCTCCCATGAAATCTGCTGTCTAAAGGTGATTGTCATTTGATGTATATCCTTCCCAAACTTTTTCTGTGCAAATTTGTGTGCCTAAACTTTTAAAATTTTAAACATAAATAGAAAAATTTTAAACATATATAAGAGTAGATGGAACAGTATATTGAACTTATGTATTACCAGTCCCCCAGCTCCAGCAGTTATCAACGCATGACCAATCTTGTTTCATCATTACTCCATCGATAACCTGCCCTCACCCTGTATTATTTTGAAATAAATCCCAGATGTATTTCCCTAAGTACCTCTAAAAGATAAGGACTCTTTAAAAATCGACTAAAAAACAAATTCCTTATATCAAATATTCATCCAGGCAATGTTCAAAATTTCAGTTGTCTCATAAATATTGTAATTTTGTTTTTGCAGTTTTTATTATGAATCAGAATCCAAATGAAGTCCATATTTGGGATTGATTTGTCTTAGATATTTTTTAATTTACTTATTCCTCCATCTCTCTCTCATTTTTTTCCTTAAAATTTAGTTGTAGAAGAAACTGTTGTCATTTAAAGTTGCAGAATTTTTCTCTTTGTTTCTCCATGGTTATGTTTAAAATGTTCCCTTTGTCCTCTTTATTTTCTGTATATTATCTTTGGATCTGGAGATTTGATTAGATTCTGGTGTTGGTTTTCATGTAGGTTGTTTTTGAGACTACTTCATAGGAGATGGAGTATTTGTCTATCAGGAGACACATAAATGTTTGGTTGTGTCTTGTTCTTTTACGTATTTTTAACAAAAGAGAGATCATATGTGTACTGTTTTATAACCCATTTTTCTCACTAAATGATATATTTTGGTGATCTTTCTGTATCTATTGCCTCATCATCTTTAGCATAATATTTTGTTATATGTCTTTACATGTATAATAATGATTTACTTAACCTATTTTTTAACCTGTTTTTTAATTTAATTTTAAATTAATAATAATTTATTTAACCCATGATTGAACATTTGAGTTGTTTTCTAAATTTTCCTATAAAGAAAACCATGATGAACTTCCTGGTAAATGGATCTATAAGTAAAATTACTGGGTTAAAGTATAAGCATTTTTAAAAAGATTTGGATGAATTTTTCTAAATTGTCTTCTAGAGTGATTATACCATGTTTCTTCATAGTACTTTTTTTGGACATTGTGAAAGTAGGTTATTATTGGTGGCTCTTTGGTATTAGAATTATTTAGCTAGGTCATATAAGCTTAGGAATGGGTTTATAGTTAGGGAAGTGAAGATCCAACCTTAAGGAAAAAATAGAAGGCCACAAATTGTGAAGATAGTTTATCCAGGTTACTGTTTGTATTCTTGAGTACTCTTTATGGAAAGGTGATGGAATGACTTATGGAGATTCTTAAATGTAGAAGGAGAGAGGGACAGGGTTAGTGATTATATTGATATTTTAGGATGGGTGCTAAATGCATTGAAAAATCCATGAGCCTATCTTTAAGGTAGTCTTAAAATTATAACTGTATAGGTAATGCTCCTTTTCAAGTTTACCCTTTCTTGCTGTTATTCATTAAAGCTGGGTCCAAGATTAATGAATTGGTAGCATTTTAGTTTGAATTAGCATTGTGCCTGAGGTTATTGGCAGTCACTGGGTTAAGTCAGTTTCTAGGAGATATTTCTTTTCCTCTTTTGGGTCCCTGACGCCTTTGAGAATCTTCAGAAAAATTGGAAACCCACAAAATTTTACATGTAATTTCAAGAGGTTTATAGACATCTTAAAATCTATCTCTGGTCCTCAGCTAAAGAACTCATATACTAGAAACTCCTTTTGCCAGAGACTTATAGTGAATTTATGGAGCACAAAGGAAGAGTAGGTACTATAGGAGAGAAACAGATCAAAGTATATAGGATTTTAATTTGACTTCTAATTGATGGTCTGAAATTAGTTTTGTGTTTCTTCTGTTATCTGTGAAATGCGACTACCATTTCCTCATTCGCGGGAATAGAGTACGGGTTCATATAGTAAAATTAAAAGTAAATTGAATATAATATAATTCTCACTCATTAAGTTATATTCTTTCAAATTTAAGTTTTAATATGCTGTCTCATCAAAATCATGTTATCTCTGGATTTATAGAGGTATTGTGATTTAAAAAGCATCCACTAAGTTACCCTATCTTTGAAATGTTTGTAGGAGCCTATGATGCCCATGGATCAGTCTTCTATGCATTCAGACCATGCACAGACAGGTAAGAATGACGCTGGCACAAACCACTGTTCATTAACGAAGTATTATTTAAGGACTTCTTTAGGTGACTCTTTCACCCAAGTTTAAAAACGTTCATGTTCTTCCTAAATAAAAGTTAGGTAATCGTATTTTGTGATGGTAATATCTGTCATAACATTTAACATATGCATTTGGCGTTTTAAAAAGATAGCTATGTAAACCATAACAAATGACTGTTTTCTCTAATTCAGATACGTTTCTTTTGAGACCCCTTTAAATTCAGCAAACTTAGTTGTTTAAAATAATGAAAAGATATACTCGTTTTATAGGCCATGTTGACTATGTTCAAGTGACATATTAAAAGCTTTGTTATCAGAAGTAGGGGCTGGCCCCATGACCTGGTAGTTAAGTTTGACACGCTCCACTTTGGCCCAGGTTCGCGTGTTCAGATCCTAGGCACAGACCTACACCACTTGTCAGCCATGCTGTGGCAGCAACCCACATACAAAGTAGAGGAAGATTGGCACAGATGTTAGCTCAGGGCAAATCTTCCTCAACAACAAAAAAAGCTTTATTATTAGAAGTAGATTTTATGTAAAAGATACAGAGGTGCAGTATGGAAAATTCAAACAAGATCATGTGAGTTCAAATGTCACATAAATACAAAACCCTAAATATGTATCTGGGAAATTTGGAGAGCAGTTAAGTGGGACAGAGCAGCCTGATCTGGGATGAATCCAGGAAGGGGAGGCAAGGGAGTTTGTCTGGAAGGACAGAATGCAGTCCCTTGTTCATGGAAGAAGCTGGTTGTATGAAATGTAGGCTTTTTTTCGTCCAAAGTAGCTTCAAAGAATAGAAGCCCAGAGTCCAATCTTGGTCAGTTTCTTACCGGACCTGTGTGGTATGGTAGTCAGGAACGTTTTCAGTATAAAGGAAGTAAGGACTGAAAATCAGAGACACTCTATGCCTCAGTCATACTAAAATAATTAGAGTTTATAGAGTCACCCTTACAGAAGGAATTGATTAATTTGTAAAGAGGAGAAATATTTTTAAAATACCAGAAATATTTGTTAAACTCAGTACTTGGCTAGTGATTGGTTCTCCCTCTCTTTACCCTCATTAAAGATGAAGATTTAACTCATGTCTGTGCACAGTTTATTAGTAGGACAGATATTCACTTTTAAATGATGAAAACTTATTCAGAAATAAAAACTTAAAAAAATCAAGTCAAAAGAAAATTTTAAGTCAAATTCAGTTGATGAATGCTATATTTTTCTCCCTTTTTTTAATGTTTACGATTGGGTTTTTAGTAATTCCGTATAATCCTTCAAGTCATGAGAGTTTGGACCAAGTTGGTGAAGAAAAGGAGGTAAGATAATTAGTCTTATTTTAGTCTGATACATTATGTTATCAGCTTTTTAGTAAGACTTGACAGTTTAAAAATATGATAAATTGACTTGCTTGGTTAGATCATAATGGCAAAATGCAGGAATGATTTTTAATGTTTCTTGAGTTTTATTCTGATTTAATTAAATTACTAAATTCATTTAAGAAATAGTCTGGTGGGATAATTTATTTTCATTTTAAGATATCATAATTTAAAAAATATAATGTATTTAAGAATGGTGTTTAGAATACTTGATAGTATTGTTTAAAATACATTATAAATCTTTCCATTTTATAGGCTAATTGTTTATTTAAAGTATAAATGATTAAGCATCTTAACCACCATTATTTTTTTCTGACAATTAAACATTTTATCAGTTTTTAAAATAAAATAATTTTTAACTAAAAATATCTAAGTAAAATGATAACCAATTCTTTGTTAAAAGCTTGTAGTGAAAAAAATTTTTGCCTCATACCTTCCACTCCCACTTTGACTTCAGAGAGGCAGCCTTTTTCAGTCATTTCTGTTTGTGTCCATAATGTTTATACCTCTGTTTTTCAATTTTTCGACTTTATATATTTCTGGCCCTGAAGGCTTAGTTCACATTACCTCTCCCTTTTCCCTTCTCTTTCCAGTGTTTGATAAGTATATTATTTTTTACTCTTGGTTACCTTTAAAATAAAAAAACAATTTTTAGTTATGGAAAATTTCAAACATAAATAAAAATAACAGAATAGTATAACAAAGCCCCTGTACCCATTACCCAGCTAGAACAGTTAGCAATACACGGCCAGTGTTGTTTGTCTACCCACTTCTCTCTCTTGTATCATTTGAAGCACATCTGTTGGTTGCCTATTTAATCTTACATCTTAGTTTCTTGTTCTCTTTTGGTCTATACCTTGACTTTCCTCTAGTCATCCCTTTTCTTTCTTCCAACTTTACTCTTTTACCTACATGTTTATTTTTATGTTGCCAAGGTTGTTAACATTTATAATCTGTCCTGCAACTGTAACCACATCTTCCATATTTTGTTCATAGGTTGAATGAGTCATTCAAAGGAGGAAATTTCTAACAAGGAATGAATCCTCTGTTCTTCTGACACCATGAGTTGCTAATGTTTTCTTCTATTTGGTCTTTAATACTCTTTCATAGCTTTTGGGGGTTTTTTGCAGTTTCTCGTTGGTTGTATTATTTATTGCTTTGGTTGTTTACCAAAGATTCATTTGCTTTTATCTTCAAGATTTTTTATACACTTTAAAGTTGAAGAATAACATACAGTGAAGTACACAGCTGACGAGTATATAGCTAGATGAGTGGACAATATTGACCACCCAGATCAAGAAGTAGGGTCTACTAGCATCCCAGAATCCCATCTGTGCCTTTTCCCAGTCACTAACACTCCCTCCTCCCTTCAGGTAACTGCTGTCTTAACACCACAGATTAGTTTTGCTTTTTCCTTCAAACTTTATGCAGATAGATTCGTACAGTATGCTTTTTGTGCTGGCTTCCTTTGCTCAATGTTGCGTTTGTGAGGTTCAGCCATGTTTGATATCAGTATTTCGTTTATTTTCACTGTTGATTCAGTTTATTCTACTTTTGATTTTTCACCCTAGATTGGGATTGTTATGATACATTGCTATGAACATTCTTGTAAATGTAGTTTGGCGCACGTATGTAAGCATTTTTGTTAGGTGTATGACTAGGAGTGGAATTCCTGAATTGTGTACATTGAACTTTAGTTGATAATACCAAACAGTTTTCCAAAGTGCTTATATCAGTTTAGACAACATCTGAGAGTTTGATTTGCTCCACATCCTTGTCAACACTTTGTATAGTCTTTCTTTTTAATTTTACCCAATCTGTTGAATGTGGAGTAGTAGTTTATTATAGTTTTTATGTGCATTTCCTTGCCTCACACCTTTTCAAATATTTATTGGCCATTTGAATATCATTTTTAGTTAAGTGCCTATTTATGTCTCTTTAAAAGAAAATGAGTAGTCTGCCTTTGTTCTACTGATTCGTAGAAGTTTTTTTGTGTATTCTTGACATTAGCCTATCAGTTATATATTGCAAATGTATTCTCCCAGCCTATGACTTGTATTTTCACTCTGTTAATGATGCCTTTTGATGAACAGATATCCTTGACTTTTAATGTAGTGAAATACATCCGTCTTTCCTTTTTGGGTACTGCTTTTGGGGCCCCTTTAAGAAAACTATGTCTTCCCCAAGGTTATTGAGAATATTGAAAGGACTATACTTTCCCCCATTACTCTGCAGAGCTGTCTTTTTTCTCCCTCCCCAAAGCCCCGGTACATAGTTGTATATTCTAGTTGTAAGTCCTTCTAGTTCTTCTATGTGAGCTGCTGCCACAGCATGGCTACTGTGATTCTGCACCTGGGAACTGAACCCGGGCCCCAAGTGAAGCGTGTGAAACTTTAACCACTAGGCCATCAGGGCTGGCTCTGCAGAGCTATCTTTTCATCAATTATATGCCCATTACATGGTATATTTCTGGTTTCTCTTTTATTTTCCGTCATTTTATCTATCTTGTGCTGATATCATGCTGTTATGATTACTATAGCTTTGTAATGTTTTTATATCTAGTAAAATTCTTCTACTTTGTTGTTCTGGGGATTATCTTAGCTACTCTTACTAGCTTTTTGAATTTTCATATAAATTTTAGAATTGGCTTGCCAGTTTCCACAGAATCAAACGAATAAACCAAACCCGTCAATCAATTTCAGGAAAAGTGACATCTTTACAATATCAAGTCTTCAATCTATGAACACGGTATATTCTTCCATTTACTTAGGTCTTTTTATTTTATTTATTTATTTATTTTTTTGAGAAAGATTAGTCCTGAGCTAACTACTGCCAGTCCTCCTCTTTTTTTTTTTGCTGAGGAAGCCTGGCCCTGAGCTAACATCCATGCCCATCTTCCTCTACTTTATACGTGGGATGCCTACCACAGCATGGTGTGCCAAGCAGTGCCATGTCTGCACCTGGGATTCGAACTGGCAAACCCTGGGCCACCGAGAAGCGGAATGTGTGCACTTAACTGCTGCACAACCGGGCCAACCCCTAGATCTTTTTAAATTTCTGTCAGTGTTTTGTAGTTTTCAGAGTTCTTGCACTATAGGTATTTGATGTAAATTTTTAAATTAAAATAAATTTAATACTATTATATAGAAATAAGTTTTTTTCTAAATTGTCTTGGATCCTGAGACTTTGCTAATTGATTTATTTATTCTAATAGCTTATCTACAGGTATTTTTAGGTTTTCTACGTATATGATAATCTTATCTATGAATAACAGGTTCATTTCTTCCTTTTCAAATCTTACAGATTAGTTTTCTTGGTATTTTATTTATTTATATTTTTAATTGCAGTAACATTGGTTTATAACATTATATAGCTTTGGGATGTACATTGTAATGTATTTCAGATTCTGTGTAGATTACTTCATGTTCACCACCAAAAACTAATTATAGTCCATTCCCTCACATGTGAGGTTAATCACCCCTTTTGCCCTCCCCCCTGCCCCTTCCCCTATGGTAACCACCAATCCAATCTTCATTGCTATGTGTTTGTTTGTCGTTGTTTTTAGCTTCTACTTATGAGTGAGATCATATGGTATTTGACTTTCTCCCTCTGACTGACTTCCCTCAGCATAATACCCTCAAGGTCCATCCATGTTGTCACAAATGGCCAGATTTCATCATTTCTTATGGCTGAATAGTAGTCCATCGTGTATAAATACCACATCTTTTTTATCCATTCCTCCCTTGATGGGCACCTAGGTTGCTTCCAAGTCTTGGCTATTGTGTATAAAGCTGCAGTGAACATAGAGGTGCAAGAATCTTTATGCTTTTGCATTTTCAAGATCTTTGGGTAAATACCCAGCAGTGGGATAGCTGGATCATATGGTAGATCTATTCTTAATTTTCTGAGGATACTCCATACTGCTTTCCATAGTGACTGCACCAGTTTGCACTCCCACCAGCAGTGTACAAGGGTTCCCTTCTCTCCACATCCTCTCCAACATTTGTTGTTTCCTGTCTTGTTAATTATAGCCATTCTGACCGGAGTGAGGTGATACCTCATTTGTAGTTTTGATTTGCATTTCCTGATAGCTAACGATGTTGAGCATCTTTTTATATGCCTGTTGACCATCTGTATATCTTCTTTAGAGAAATCTCTGTTCAGATCCTTTGCCCATTTTTTAATTGGGTTGTTGGTTTTTTTGTTGTTGAGCTGTATGAGTTCTTTGTATATTTTGGATATTAACCCCTGATCTGATATATGGTTTGCAAATATCTTCTCCCAATTGTTAGGTTGTCTTTTCATTTTGTTGATGGTTTCCTTTGCTGTGCAGAAGGTTTTTAGTTTGATGTAGTCCCATGTGTTCATTTTTTCTTTTGTTTCCCTTGCCCGGTCAGACATGGTACCTGAAAATATGCTGCTAAGACTGATGTTAAAGAGCACACTGTCTGTGTTTTCTTCTAGAAGTTTCATGGTTTCATGTCTTACATTCAAGTCTTTAATCATTTTGAGTTGATTTTTGTGCATGGTGTAAGGTAATGGTCTACTTTCATTCTTTTGCATGTGGCTGTCCAGTTTTCCCAACACCATTTATTGAAGAGACTCTCCTTTCTCCATCGTATGCTCTTGGCTCCCTTGTTGAATATTAGCTGTCCATAAATGTGTGGGTTTAATTCTGGGCCCTTGATTCTGTTCCACTGATCTGTGTGTCTGTTTTTCTGCCAGTACCATGCTGTTTTGGTTACTATGGCTTTGTAGTATATTTTGAAGTCAGGGAGTGTGATACCTCCAGCTTTGTTCTTTTTTCTCAGGAATCCTTTGGCTATTTGGAGTCTTTTGTTGTTCCATATAAATTTCAGGATTCTTTGTTCTATTTCTGTGAAAAATATTGTTGGAACTTTGATAGGGATTGTGTTGAATCTATAGATTTCTTTAGGAAG